TGGTTCGCGATTTCGAAAAAGCTTGAAGACTGACGAGTTGGAAACGGGTGTTTGCAACTCCGAGTAACTTGATGTCAAGTTGTAGCAAATTTTTTACTACTTGCGGGATAGACAAGTGTAGACCTCCCTCGTGTCCGTCTTTCTGACAAGTCAGCCAAAGAACGTTGTGTCCGACCAAAGGTTCTATTGCCCTGTGACTCACACCCAACAACACTCACACTATACTGTCCACGTGTACGGCCAACAGCAGCCTTGCGCGTCCGAGTCCGGTCTTCGAGTATACGTCTACATGCTAGAAAATCATGTGCCTTATATACTGCGTCCATCGCGGACGAATCCTGGTCACATCTTATGGAAATTATGTGGTAATTAACCAATGAGAATCGAGTACGGATATCGTATGATGTTCGGGTAAGCTTATCACAGAGCATGGGATTGCTGTGGTAAGCCAGAACTGTTTCATGCAATAGATGGCTAGCCGGGCGCTGAGAGCGACTTTTTAAAGGAAGTATCAAATCACATTAGGGATGTTATATATAGTTAAGGTTCCGGCGGAATAGATGACATGCGATGGGTGACCTCCTGAAGGCTGACAGCGAGTGTTCCACATTTCTATGAGAGGTTGAATTGAAATAGCCATCTTGGAAACCTCTCGGGGTTGTTCACAGTCCTGCGCTTTTTAAGACCCAAGCCCCTTTTTTCTAAACCACGCGCCCACGAAAATGTGGAAAAGTATATCGGAGAACGTTTTAAAATCACCTTGGATTCATGACGTCATAATAACATCATTCTAATTTTGCTATTCTATAAACCATGCGGTGATCTACGCCAAACATATAATTGTCGAGGCGTTAACATCTGGTGATGGTGAGCGCGATTTCCAGACATAACGGTTGTTAATTGGCTCTCAATCAATTTCGTGCAAGGTACGGTGACGTAATCAAACCATGATGCATTGAGCAGCATATTTACTTAACAGCAAATTAAGCCATCTGGAGCAGTCTTTTCTACTTCACAAGCTTACCAATAATTATAAGTGAGCTTGTTTCCTCATCTCTGATGCTTGCTTCAATGTCTTCAAAGGTGAAGAAACATTCACTTTGAATGTCCTTGGTACTTTTTGTCCTAGAAACTGTTTAGGATTCCAGAGACTTGATGTATCTAGGTATCTGGAGGTTTTTAGAAATCTGGAGACCTTTAGTGTCGTGTGGTATAACTTTGTTACCTTTAGCAGCGCCAAGAAGCTTTGAATGAGTGGTCAGAGTTAGATGCTCCTTTGGCAACCCAGGCGATTAGCATAAAAGAAAATTCACACGTAAACTGTGCCAGAGCAGTTGAGAACCAGTGGCGTGCTGTCCTAGTACAAATATCAGTCGTCAGTGAAAGTTTGATGAAAGCGATATGCCCACATCACCAGCAAGACCAATTGGTGCAATATCAGGAAGAAAAAAATATTGCCATAGCTGTGAACACGCACGCCAATGTGCTAGTTAAACAGCATCAAAGAGAAAGCAACCACGTAACCGGCGACTACCAGCCGTGTTAATCCAGAAAGACAGTCTGCACGGCTTCTTGAAAGTTAACACGCGCCCGGGTGGCCGGCTAGATACCCTTCGCTCGGGTGGGGGAGGGGTCAATTTCCCCCTCCCCCCTGAGATCTCGGGAACTAAGAAAGCTAGAGACACAAAATTTGCAGGGTGTCTTGACCTGTACGTGAAATCATTTAGGTCAAATTTCGAGTTTCCTAGGTCATGACATTCAGGTCACATAGGGTCAAACAAGGTCAAATTCCAGGTTGGTCTCCAATGTGCCCCCAGAACTTAGGCAGCTTTTTCTAAGCAAAAGCTCACAAGCGCATTTGAGGTCAATGACCTTTTTTGACCATTTGAAGGTCGTGGTAACCAAAATGATACAAGACTGGTCGGAGTTTTGTATTTGAATAAACGACAAAGATTACGCTATGCAGTATGTTCCCAAAACAAAATGTAGAAATCTGGCGTCAATGACCTGTTCTGACATCTAAGAAATCAATCGAAGATGTATAATGCGGCTCCTGCTATCAATAAATTGGGAAGGAGCGCCAAAAGCTATCCAATATAGCAAGCCCTGGGTAATAAATCAGGTTGGTTTTGACCTTGGTCTCACCTTCATATTCGACCTGAGGTCAACGTAATTTGCTTTTTCAATATTTTTGGTGCCTGAGAAAACATCTTAGAGATGAATGACTTAGTCAAACACTCCGTTGTTGTATCAGATTGAACGATTCCCTAGAAATTGCCTTCGCTGAAACCATGGCCTGACTCTAACCTGCAATAGGTCAGCGACCTTACAAGGTACATCAAATTTTGTGTATGTCAAACGATCTGCTATTCCATTGTCTACAACTATACAAAATTTGGCGCGGCTACGCCGCGCTGTTCGGAAACCATTCCGGAAAAACCTTCGAGGGGTCAATTTGACCCCCCACCCGAGCGCGTGCTAAGGAAGCCCAATGCACGTATGGCAGGAAGTGAGCTAATGCGGAGTTTCCCCCATCAAAGTAGTCCGCAATGATGCCACCAAATTTTAACCAGCTGTGGACCCGGTCATACCAAGCAGCGCGCACTTGGCGAAAGGAGAGCATCGGAAGGCATTTTAGCGCCCTGGTGCTCACACCCGGCAGCACCAGCACCTTTTTACCATGCGCATGGTCATGTCTCCTCTCATTCGAAAAAAGCCCGGAGACGGCGATATCGGGAAGATGATCAGACTGAGCAGTTCGCTAACGTGGCACCTTTGAAGAGAAATCGGTGAATAAGCAAAAGTCAATCTTTTGGTGAGGACGGCCGGCGGTGTGGAAGAGTTGGTTTTATCACTTGTCCGACAAGGGTGAGATTTAAAGTAGTATAAATACCAAATTTCATTAAAATTAAACGACATATAGGTCTGGAAAGTTTTTAAAGACACCGTTCGCGTAAGTTTAGCGTTTCACTGACACAGTCGGAGAGGTGTGCCTCATCCCCAATCCAAATACTGAAGGACTACAAAATTAACATGGCCAAAAAATTAGAAAAATAATTCGAATGGAACCTCCGCCAGCCACCGGCGGCCTCCAACGGCCTCTTACTTCGGCATAAACCCTGAAATGAGAGATTGTAAACAGATTGACACGAACAAGGCTGAGTTCCGGCCGTAAAAACTATATCAGAGCTGATAAAAAACTAACCCAACAATTCCCTTCTGTAACAACCGCATACTTTGACCATATCACCATTTCACAAATAGGTAATAGAAAAGGAGCACAGGGTACAACACTTAAATGGCCTCCAGCACTTTCAGCACGAATCCAGGGCTCGACACTCCTTTACGAACGGCAAAAGAGGCCGAACAAATAAGCGGTGGAAAGGGTGTTTCCGCAAGTCGAAAGGGTGTTTATGAATAAGATCCCGCGTGCTATAAGGAAGGAAAAATAAGGGGATGCAAACAGCTTTTCCAGAAAGGTGATGCCAGCAGATGGACGCCTTATATGAAGGACTGTACCAACCTTCCCGATACAGGCCGCATAAGAAGGCGCACCAGGGACGCATACGTTTGGAAACCTGGTGATAAAGCACGTGTACAAGGGTGACATTGTCGGTCCCCTCGAATTAAAGGGGGTGTTTCACTCCCTTTAATTGAAGAGTAATGGAGAGAGCCCCACGTCTGTATGCGGTTTTGAACTGAATTGGACATCTTAAAGATAATTTGGTGCAGTTGACAGCCCAGCCCTTCTCAATCTCTCCTCTTGCAGTTTCTGAGCTTTAGGCCCGCGAGGACGTGCAGACGTTTTCGTGCACATGATGCCAAGGTCATCCAGGCATCGATGATGCCACAAGAACGTCATTTAAATCCCATCATCCCATTGGTCATGCTGTAACCGAGGCCAAGAAAAATATAGTTGTCGAGCCGTTCACATTTGGCGTTTGTGAGCACCATTTCTAGATACAACGGCCGTCAATTGGCTCTGAATGACTGTTGTGCAAGGTACGATGACGCCATCGAACAATGACGCATTCTAGATCATTTATCATAAACTGAACAATTTGTTGTCTGGAGCAGCCTGTTTCACTTTACAAGATGCCAATGCTTATAAGTAAGCTTATTTCATCATAAATGATTGCTTCAATATCTTAAACGTGAAACATCCCCTTTAAACGCTTCCTTGCTAGAAACACCAACACGACCGTGACCTGACATCAAACTGCCGTGACTCGCCCAAATTTAAACCTGAGCGATACAAACCCTGAATGGCATATATCACAATAAATTATATAAAATCTGGCGCAGTCTACCTAGCGATATCCTTCAGTTTGGAGATGTATCATTAGGTCTCGCTAGCACCGGCTACTGTGAATTTGGTTAAAAGTAAAACTGGTGTTTGCTTAACGAACGCCACCTGTTTTGTTTCCTTATTGAAAAGGATAGTGATAAAGCTGAGATCGAGACATAGACATTCAGGCAAAAATATTAATTTTGCTTACGAGCAGTCCATGACCTTTCTTTGAATTGAAGGTCACAACTTCACGTGACCAAATCTTCAATAGTGCGATTCCGAGATAGCCAACGTGTGTCTAGTTCATTGTGAATTTAATGATGAGAGTTTAACGTAATCAGAATGGCAATTGATTATGACAGACTGCCAAAGAAAAAAAACGGTGTCGCCTATTGAACCTGCCTGGGGCTTAACATACATACATACATACATATATATATATATATATATATATATATATATATATATATATATCCCTCTCTCTCCTCTCTCTCGAAAGTCATTTTTCGGATTTTTGTGTTCGTTGCCATAGCCAGGTTTCGTGGCCGTGACAACGTTATAGATGGATTTTAGGGCACTTATATCATGATTTTATTTACCAACTTTTTGGTTTTCTTATGGTCGAATGCCCCAACCGCTCCTGCTTCCCGTTAACCGTTGTCATATATGCGAACCCTAGTTCGGAGGTTTGTGATGATGTGACCGGCAGGGATGAGTCCGTCAGGCGACACCAGGATCACCATCTGTGTTGAGGGTAACCTCGCCAGCGGCAAGACCACACTTCTGGGACACATCAGGAGCCGCTCTGGTGTCGAAGTCATTGAAGAGCCGGTGGGCACGTGGAGAAACGTAGCCAATGCTAATCTGTATGTAAGTGCGTCAACTCAGTCGGAGTGGGTCCGAGACTAAGGTCTGCTTGTGCTGGTGATGTCTGCTCTATGTCATAGCGTCACTGCGCTTCGTTTCACGCAAATATTACCCGGACCACATCAAGTCAATGGATTCCTGCCTTGATCTCCGAGGCGGTGTCCTGCGAAATCTGGGCATCGTCCTGCAAGGATCCACTTTGCGCAAGACAGAAGCCCTGTTTGCATACGCATTTATGTTGTTGCCAAATAGAAACAAATGTTCCCAACATGGAAACCACCAAGACGTCAGAAAAGAACTGTCTGCAGGCCATCGTGCCAGAAATATCAGGTGATAACAATTAATGTGGGTTCAAAGGACCATCCTGGAACACACTTGAGTAGTTTTAGAAGCTTTCCACATTTTTTTTTAAAGGATTTTTTCACTCCTTTTCCCCATCTTTTATGTGACTTTTTCACTCCTGCGACAGCTATGGCTATGTCCTGCCTCACCAACATCTGAATCATGTGTGCGCCAAATGTACGGTTTTCACGCTTCCCCTATTTTTTTGGTCTCACCGCCACACCACGGAAGCAGAGCCTGGTGCAAACACCAACAAGGCCTGGTAGATAATTTTACTCCACGTACTTATTTGTTCCCGAGGAAACTTGACCACTAAATGCATCACTCCCGAAATGCATGAGTGAAAAGTTCAAGAAATGTCTTTTAAATTATGCTTACAAGATGAATATCACCATTTGAGCACTTATATTAACAGATTTGAAGTCAAATCAGCTGATCACAAAAATTGCGAGAAAAGCACCAGTCTTTATATTTATTTAACTACTTTTGTTTTTCTTCATGTCATACCGGTGTGATACCATTTTATTCTTCCCTCCTTTTCGATTGCATTTTGACGTACCATCTGCTGCTTAAAATGTTGACCAATTTCTCTGTAAAATGCTCCAACTGCAAGCTTGTACGTATTTCATATATAAATTGGATAAATTCGCCAGCCGCCCAAACATGTTTGATACGCACCGAAGCGTGAACAATTCACAGGGAATGAAGGAAACAATGTGAAGCACGGAACTTATTTTTACCGCCATTTTTGCCCTATTAAACCTTCGGTTAACTGTTTTTTTGTTTGTTCATGGTGGTGCTCAATAAGGATAAATCCAAGCTTTTCGAGTGTCTGACTTGCCAGGCTACCTGGCAAGGCTTAAAATAACATTGCCTCTGCCCCTGTGTGGCAGCCTTAAAACATACTGTCATATGGAGCCTTGGGACAGACCTGACGCAGCTAATACAGAAGTGTTTGAAGGCGAAATTCTGCCTTGTGAAGATGTTTGTCATGCGCACCTCTTACTTGTTTCGCACTTTTATCTCGAAGGTTGGTGGGCATGATTGATATCTATTTTTGGGGGTTACTCGGATGACTCTGTCTGCCTGCAGACCATGCACAAGGTACTGAATTTTTGTTTTTGGGGGGGCAGGAAGAAGCCGGTAAGTCTCATGTGGACCAAGTAATTGCTTACCTTACCTGCTTTCAACACATGATTGGTAACCAGAGTTAGCCATTTTCTGCTTTAATGCATCGAGTTTTACCATAAGACAAGTTATGATGCCACAAGCCATGCAATGGGCTTATTTTGTTCCATATTCTTGGTTATCTGCCCCAAATTTCTTGGAGTGGCCCCTCATGGCTGCCACCAGCCTCATAACCAGATGTTTTCTATAGTTGTCATGGTTTGCTGACTGGCAAATGGCTGTACTGTATATATGCACTATATTTTTTAACACAGGGATATTCTAAGCTGCATAGCAATTATAATATGAGTTAAATATTGCTATGTAACAAATAGTCAGACCACCCCATTTAAAAGATGAAGCCAACATCTCAAACTTTGTCATCAAATATGAATAAACAAGCCTAAAGGGATGCATTTGCTGCAGCTGAAAAGGCAAGCAGCAATACGGGCATGGTCATCTAAAAGCTGTTATTTTTGGAGAAGAGAGATTGTTTTGTGGAGCATACCCATCGTTGCCCTTGACATAGGCTAACCATGACAATCCAAATAATTTGTTCAAAGTGATTTAAAGTGCTTTGATTTGTGTGTAGTCGACTTTGTCTGATGTCAACAAGCATGCACAAATGAACTGAATAAAAATGCAAGTTGAAACCAGCAAAAAACTAGCTTTAAATATCATGTTTTTATCACAAGTGCTGCTGTCAACAGACAGGTGAGTTGATATGATGTTTATCATATGGGCTGCTCTAAGTTAGGTTAAGTTGGTCAAGTGCATGACAAGTGGCAATAGCAATTGTGCAAGAATCAGTAACTCACAACTGTTGCTGTAATACAAACAGGTTATACAGGATGAGATGATGTAAGGCCTCTTTAGGTTAGGCATAGGCTACTTTCATGGAAATAATCCTTGGTATTTTGTAAGAAGCAGTGACAAAATGTTTGTTTTCCCTGACCCCACCTTAACAGAAGCCAGAAGTATGTCTATTGTGTTTGACTTGGTGATGGGCTGATGTGTAGGAGTCCAATGTTTTTTTGGTTTGAGTGTTTTATGCTTGTTGAATTTTCTGTTGTTATATTGTTATCAACTTCCTTTGCTTTGTTTTGTTCGAAAAGTGCTGTGAAAGGGAATTGAAAAGTGCAGCATCAAATTATTGGTGTTAGCAATTTGTTATGCTCATAGTACTGTCATGAAATTACTATGCTTTAACACGCACCCGGTTGGCCGGCTAGATACCCTTCGCCCGGGTGTGGGGGGTCAATTTGAACCCCCTCTGAGATCCCGGGAACTAAGAAAGCTAGGGACACCAAATTTACAGGGTGTCTTGACCTGTACGTGAACTCACTTGGGTTACGGTTCAGCTCCCTAGGCCATGACCTTCAGGTCGAATAAGATCGAACAAGGTCAAATTCCAGGTCGGTCTCCAAAGCACCCCCAGAACCTAGGCAACTGTCTCTAAGCAAAAGGTCACAAGCCCATTTGAGGTCATTGGCCCTGTTTGACCCTTTGAAGGTCACGGTGACCAAAGTGATACGAGACTGCTCTGCGTTTTCATTTGAATAAGAGACAAAGATTACGCTAGGTAGTATGTTCCCAAAACAAAACGTTCGACCTGGGTCGTCTTAGGTCAGTGGCCTGTTCTGACCTCTAATAAGTCAATTGAAAATGTATTATGCGTTTCCTGCTGTCAATCAATTCTAAGTGAGCACCAGCCATTATCCCATACAGCAACCCTTAGAGTAAAAAATCAGATTGGTTTTGACCTTGGTCTAACCATCATACTTGACCTTAGATCAACGTAATTTGCGCATTCAATATTTGTGGTGCCTAAGAAAGCATCTCAGATATGTATGTCTTCGTCAAACACTCCGTTGTTGTGTCAGATTGAACGATTCCCTAGAAATTGCCTTCGCTGAAACCATGGGCTGACTTTGATCTGTCATAGGTCAGCGATCTTACAAGGTACATCTAAAATTTGTATGTCAAACGATCCGCTATGCAATCTTCTACAGCCACGCAAAAAATATGGTGCGGCTACGCCGCGCCGTTCAAAAACCATTCGGGAAAAGCCCTTGGGGGGGGGGGGCAGGGTCAGTTGCCCCCCCCCCCCCCACCCACCCGAGCGCGTGTCAATGTATTCTGTTTCACTTTAATGGCCTAAGATGTTAAAAAACGAAATGGTTTTGTCAGTTTTCTGATATTACGTCCATGCCAACTTGAAATGAATGTCCTTGTTTGCTGAAGCATCAGTAACGAGCTCATAAGTTCCGTCTTTTGTGAATTGATTTTTTCACTCCCGCACGGTCTTTCTGCGATTAAATTTTTCACTCCCACCCTAGTTCAAAAGCGATTCTAGCTCCCTGCATATTTTTCCCTGCTGGAGGGTTCCTTTTATAGGCACGTTCCGTTCCAGATATGGCTGCTTAGCCGTCCTGGCAAAGACGGCCAATCTACCATATGTGGGCATTCACTGGCGCTCCTGAACGTAGCCCGCCTCACGCTCTCATTGTGTAGCGTCTTTCACGCGTCTTTTCAAGTACTCTCGAAGTACCCAGGTGCGTGCGGGCGACCTTCGAACCTTCGACTGCGTCTGTCCTGATCGTTCGGTCTCTGTGGCCCTCTATCTCGCTTCATCACGGATCCTCGCGACACCCCGCTTGTCCGGGGCAGGCTGCATGCGCCAGCTACGAGTGGGCTGAGAGCCCCGTGGGAAGGGGGAACCCGAGCGGGTACCCAGCGCTCATGCGAGGGTTGAAGCCCGTTGGTTTGCCCCCCAGGCGCATGCAAGGCTGCCCCACAGTTAACCACTTTCCTTCATCCCATAGCCCTGAAATGGTCAGTTGCTGTCGAAAGGGCTCTAATAGAAAACCTTATCGTTGCACCCACACACAACGGGCAAGCGAGATACCGTTTTCTGCCGTCCAACGAGTTCGTGCTTTTGCTAAGCCCTCCAGATGCCGGTGAAGGAGGCCGGGAAGAGCGTCGCACTTGCCATTTGATGAGGCCATGAGAATCTTGAAGAGGCCCGTTTTCGCATCAATCTGGAAACATAAATTTAGCGTGAAAACAGGGCTAGTAACCACCGATCTTATCTTCAAGGGCGAGCAACTTTTCAGGGGCTCATCAAATGGCGTGAGCCCCTTCTGACTCAAGCGCACCCTACCACCAGCAAAACCGATACCAACGAGTGAGACCCAAAAACGAAAATATTGGGGGCAACAGTGAATGTTTGTGAGTGCGTGAGCGTGGACAGTCATGGCAAGGGGAGAGGCGCGCCGAAGTTGACGAAGGACCTCCAACAAAAAGCCCTCACCTACAACGCCTGCCAAAAAAAAGTTTGCCAAAATTGTTTCACCTTATTTCGAGCTTCTTTTTTCTTTGTTTTCTTACCTACCTTCATCCCGAAACAAAGGAGCTAGAGGCATCTAACCCAGGTGTCGATTTGTACTTTTCTGAGGGCCATGGCCCCCAACGTTGAAATGCCATTTCCTCAA